CCCCCGCCCCTGCCAAAAAAAGAAAGAAATTAGGGAAACCTTTAAAAGAAGTATCCTTAGAGCATTGAAAAGTCAAGTAACTTGTGAACCTAGTAGAGAATGCAGTACTTTAGAATACTAAGTTATGTGGTTCGTTATGAAGCAATCAGTGGTCTCCTTTTCTCCAGTCTCTTTCTTCTTTAATCCATTTTGTATACTGCCAGGGTTAATTTTCTAGAATGACATTTTTTCCCTCACTTTATTTCTAGGCTTAAAAGCCTGCAGTGAGCTCCTCCTCTAGTTTATTTGCTTTGTTGTACCATTTACTGCCCTTAAATTTGTTCTCTTTGTCCTTGCCTGTTTCCTTTGTGAAGCAATGTGATATGATGGAAAGGGCTTGGGCTTTAAAGTCATGCAGGCCTGAGTCTGATTCCAGGCTCTGTTTGGCTCTGGGCTTTGAGCTTTTTCAGAGCCTCCATGTTTTATCTGGAATGGGAGAGGTAATATCTACTTCAGGGGAGGAAATGAAAGCTTGTTGAATACCCGTGCCGGCTTGTTTCCCACTCCTTTGCAATGCGAATCCTCTGCATTGGTCAGTTCCATCTTTCTCATGCACATTTTGTCTTCTTGAATTCTTTTCCCTTTTCTTGGATTCTCCTGTTCACTATTGTTCATCCACATTTAAGCAGTCTCTCAAGATTCTATTTAAATTTTCTTGGCTTTCTTAACTACCATCTCCTGCATTCATCTCTCCCTGAACACTGAACTATGATTAATTCTAGGTGATACTTTGCTCTATTTTGACCATTTTAATTGGCGTCATTGTTAGTTTTTTTCACAGACCTTAATTAATTATGTTCTAAAATTCCTTTTTAATTTAGTTGTCTAGAATTTTAGACATTTTCCAATAGAAATTGTATTATGTAGTTTTTAGATTCAAGTCAGCCCTTAAAAGCTTCTTGTTTCCATTTAGGATGTCAGGAGTATGTTTACCTTGCTTTGGATCAGTGGATCTCATCCTGAGATGAGTTGAGTTTAAGATTTAAAAAAGTGTCAGGGTTCCCCCACAGGCCAATTATATAGGGATTTCAGAGGACAAGGCCTAGGTGTTGGTATTTTTTAAAGCTCCTTGGATGATTCTAATGTACAGCCAGGGTTGAGAATCACTGCTTTAGGTGCTAGAGCTAAAAGATTCTCATTGGTACCTTTTGCTCAAAAATGAAGTGGCATTAGTGTCATAAGAAGTGTGACAGGAGCCATAATCTAATAGTGCTCATTGGAAGTTTTCTGGATAATTAAAAGGTACAAACTAATATTTAGATTCCCCAAAATGGTGTGTGTGATGATTGTATGAATAACGTGTTTATTTGGCCAATATTTAATAAATACCTTGACTCTGCTGAGCAACAGGAGTAAGAGAGGTACACGTGTAGTCATTGCCTTTGCAGTGGTGTTTAGTTTGGGAGGGAAGAGAGGAAGAAAAGTAAATTGAATATGATGTTATATAGTACTATTATAGCAGGGTGC